TGTGGAGAAACACCAGCCCATGTTCTGTCTCTGTAGATGTGTGTGTTCTGCACCTTTCACAGAAGTGGAATTGCAGAATGTGTGCTCTTTTGAGCCGGATTGCTTTCACATGTCGTGTTGTCAAGGGTCATCTGAATTGCAGCTTATATTAGTACTTCATTTTTATGGCCAAATAACATTTCATTGGATTTACTGCAGTTTGTTTACTCATTGGTTGACGGACATCTGCGTTGTTTCCACTTTGGGGCTGCTGGGAATGGTGCTGCTGTAAACATTCATGGGCAGCGTCTTGTGGGCACAGGTGTGTTATTTCTGCTAGGTACACGTCTCCAGGAGTGACAGTCCTGGGCCACTGCTTCCACGCTTAACCTCTCAAGCACATGCCAGATGGCCTTCACTAGGCTGTGCCAGTCCACGTTCCCATCAGCAGTGTGCCAGGCATTCCCGTCCTTCTAACTTTGTTTCCATTTCTCTATCTTTTATCTTTCTTTAAACTCATCTCTGTCCTCTGTGTTCTGCTGTGTTTCCCAGTGTTTGTTTCTCCCTGCGCTGCTTCCAATCTCCACTTCATTTGGGTGGTGGCTTGATTTTTTTTCTTTTACTTTCTCAACTTCTGCCAGGTCACGTTTCACCTTCTCCTCTTTCCTTACTGTTTCTCTCCTGAGTTCTTGCATGTTTAGTTAGTGGTCTTTCTTCATGGAGCAGCTTCATTCAACTACTCAGGAGGCTGAGGTGGGAGAATCACTTGAGCCCCAGTGGTCGAGGCCACAGTGAACTGTATTCATGCCACTGCCCTCCAGCCTGGGTGACAGAGCAAGACCCTGTCTCTTAGTTTCATCTTTGCCCCAGCAACATTTTGCAGTTTGTATGTTTTATTGCTCTTGTTGTATCTTGTCACCTTTTGTCCATCTCTGAACTCAAGCAGTGTCTTACAGTCCATTGCTGGAGAAGCAGAAGGTCTTCAGGGGCAGCATGCCGTTTTCTTTTTCTTTTTTTTTTTTTTTTTTTGGAGACAGAGTCTCACCCTGTCACCCAGGCTGGAGTGCGGTGGCGCAGTCTCGGCTCACTGCAGCCTCTGCCTCCCGGGTTCAAGCAATTCTCCTGCCTCAGCGTCCCAAGTAGCTAGGACTACAGGTGCACACCACCACGTCCGGCTAATTTTTTGTATTTTTAGTAGAGACGGAGGTTTCACCATGTTGGCCAGGCCAGTCTCGAACTCCTGACCTCAGATGATCCACCCGCCTCGGCCTCCCAAAGTGCTGGAATTACAGGCATGAGCCACTGCGCCCGGCCAGCAGAACCCCTTTCTTTCAGAGTGGCACGTTACTTCTTGATGGTGGGCGGGGGTAGCCCTGCGTGGAGGCCAGCCTGGCCCTTTGGCACCTGGGCAGACGCGTGGGGTACCCTGGGCCTGCTGTTTGCAGGAGCTCCCTGTGGCAGAGCGGAGGCCAGAAGAGCCTCCAGGCCTCCAAGTCCAGGGCTCCCCACTCCTCCTCCCCAGGTCTCTGAGCCAGGCCAGGCCCTGAGGCCTCTCCCCAGGGGCTACCCCTGCCCCAGCTCCCAGAGGCCCCTCCTGTCCTCCAGCGAGGCACTGACCCTCCGCTTCTCACAGCATCCATATGTGTGTTTTGGTGGCTGTGGATTGCATCTGTGACCTATTTTCCCTGAAAATCAAGTTCAGGGAAAAGGTTTTTTCGTTATTTTTGTTTTTTTTTTTAATTTTTGGGGGGAAAGGTAATAATGCTGTGACTTACCTGAGGGTCCCCCTCGGAGACCCCCAGAAAGGTTTGAGGAAAGAAAGTAAGATCCCTTTCTGTCTGTCTCCGGCCCTGGCTCTGTCTCTGGCCCCATCCCCGTGTCCTTCTCTGTCTCTGTCTTTCTGTCTCTGTCCCTGTCCCGTCTCTCGCTGTCCCTGGCTCTGTCCGTCTTTCTCCCCCATTTAAGGAGCTCCTCCTCTCCGGGCCCCTCTGAGGAGCGCTGGGTGGAGGACAGACTGGGCCTCCTGGAGAGGACTCCACGGTGGGTGGGAGGGAAAGACTGTGGGGAGGCAGAGGGTGCCGGTGAGAGGCGTCTGCCAAGTAGATGGGGGACCCGGAGGAGACCCCGGCGGAAAGCAGGAGGGGGCGGTGGGGCTCGCGGGCCGAGGGGCGCAGTCGCTGTGATCTGTGGAGGGGCTGGCGAGGCTCCTGCCTCTGCCCTTGCTGGAGGTCTTGAGAGAGCCCTGTGACGCCTGCTAGGTGAGGTGGCAGCCAGTGAGCGCGCCCCACCGCCCCGCGCCGCCCCGCCTCCGCCCCGCCTCCGCGCCGACTCCCCCGCCGCTCCCCAAGGTGGGCGCAGTGGCGCGACCCTGGCGCTAGGGGGCGAGCGCGGCCCACCCGGTCCCGCCGGCGAAAGAGAGGGCGGAGCTGCGGCGCCTGAGGCGTGGCTGCGCTTCCGGGCCGGGGCCGGCGGAGTCTGGAGGGGGCAGCCCTGGAGCAGAGGCAGGACTTGGGGCGCGCACCCCTCACCCTGGCCCGGAGCTGTCCCGCCCCGTGGGGAGTGCGAAGGCCACGCCCGGTGCCGCGGCCCTGGCGCCCCTGTTCACTGGGACCCTGGGGGGCGCCGCCAGGTCCCTTGGCCTCCCCGGGGCCCTCGGGACCCAGGCGCGGGTAGCGGCCGTGCTGGGGACTCGGGCGTGAGGGGTGGAGATCGCTGCTCCACAGCGCCCGGGGTGCCGCTTCCCACAGGGTTCAGCTGCCGTGCAGGCTGCGCTCGCCAGTGGAAGTGGGTCTACTCGGTCCCAGGAGAGTCAGAGCCCCGTGGCCGTGGCTGTGGGGTGCGCTTGGCACAGGCCAGAGAGCTGGCCCAAAATCCTGAGGTTTGCAAAGCCTCTTTCTTTTTCTTTTCTTTTTTCTTTTTTTGTTGCTGTTGTTGAGACAAAGCCTCACTCTGTCACCCAGGCTGGAGTGCAGTGGCGCGATCTCGGCTCACTGCAACCTCCGCGTCCCGGGTTCAAGCGATTCTTGTGCCTCAGCCTCCGGGGTAGCTTGGATTACAGGCGCTGCCACCATGCCTGGCTAATTTTTGTGTTTTTAGTAGAGACGAGGTTTCACCATGTTGACCACGCTGGTCTCAAATTCCTGACGTCGGGTAATCCACCCGCCTGGGCGTCCCAGAGTGCTGGGATTACAGGGGTGAGCCACCGCGCCCGGCCCAAAGCCTCTTTCCTTCCAGTGCTGAGCTGGATAAAGTCTACCAAACTGAAAGGTTCTCCAAGGCTGTAGCTGGCTGTCTGAGAAATTATGGTGTTTGTTTAGCCCATCTTAGGACTTGGGCTATCCCAGGTGACTGAGTTTTGCTGTTAGAAAATCAGCAAACTTCACACCTCCCAAGGTTCTTTTCACTCTTCCTTTTCTCCATTGATGGTAACTTGTGTTCTCAGTTGCTCAGGCCAGAAACCTCAGTTACCTTCCTCTCTTACGTGTTTCACATCCAGACCATCAGCACATCCGGGTGGCTCTGCCTTCAAGATAGATCCAGAATCTAGGTCCTTTCCACTGCCTCCACCACAGCCACCTGGCCCAGGCCACCCTCCTCTGCCACCAGAGTTTTTGCCATTGCCCTTCCTGCCTTCCTGTGGTTATGATCAGAGACCTCGTCCCTCCCACTCAGCCCTCTCAAGGGCTTCTGTTTGCTCAGAATCAAGGTCACGGCCCTCCTAAGGGGCGAGGATCTCCTTCCCCGAGCCACACTGGCCTCCTGTTCCTCCCCAACAAGGCCAGGCCTGTGCACCCAGTCCTGATCCTGTCCCTGTCAGTCCGTCTTCTGCTTGCACGGGCCTGGAGGAGACGCCAGGGGTCAGTCCTGATCCTGTCCCCGTCAGTCCGTCTTCTGCTTGCGCGGGCCTGGAGGAGACGCCAGGGGTCAGTCCTGATCCTGTCCCCGTCAGTCCGTCTTCTGCTTGCGCGGGCCTGGAGGAGACTCCGGGGGTCAGTCCTACGTGTGGGCCAGTCTCTGTGCTTGGGCGTCTTTGGGCTCCGTAGATGAGGCTCCTGCCGCGACAGAGCTGCTTCTCTCCCTGCTGCTGCTCCTGGGTTCAGTGTCCGTTCTGTCAATTGAAGCAGTGAGACTTGAGGGATAAGCAGGCCTGGGAAGAAGGTCTTTGGGATTGCCTGTGGGGATCAGCCCTCCTCTTCCAGCGCCCTTGGTGGGTAGCACGCAGTGGGGCTTTCCTGTGGTCCCTGCACAGGTCTCCCTTAGAAAATGAGTAAGAGCAGGGCCCACGCATCCAGCCAGGACGAGGGTCACGTGAGTGAATCCTGAAAAGCTGCTTGGGAGCACCCAGTCCTTGCTGAGTGGGGCAGGAAGCAGGGGTCCCTTTGGGGGTCGTGCAGAAGAACAGCCAACCCAGCACCCCCTCCCTGCTGAGTTCCTCTCAGCACCCTCACTTTTGAGTTCCAGGCCCATGGCGTCATCCCTCACACTTAGTGGGATGAGAGACTGAACCCTTCCAGGAACCTTCTAAAGGGATCTCCTGGCCACTACACAGGCTACTGTGAAGCCCCGGCCCCTCAGGGAAGCGGGATCTTACTTTCCGTTCAAGCCCCGCCTACCCCTGGGCTCCTCACGGTCTGCCTGCTCTGAGACCCTGCATCCCTTTTTCATTTTCTCCCTCGTGCTCTTTGTCTCCTTCACACACTCCTCACGCCAGGGCACCGTGCCTCCCATGTGAGCTGTTTTCAGCCTTGCTGTGGGGCATGAGGCCTCTGGCTTTGCTTGCGCCCTGCCTGGCCCCTCTTGGTTCTCTTTTTTCTGCAGGAACTGTAGAGGCTTCTGAAGCTGGATCTCACAGTATGACATTTGCCAGTTGTTTGGCCATTTTCTCCCCCTCTTGACAGGTCCTCCGGGATTAGCTGCGGCCACCAGAAGCAAGTGCCGATATGGAGCATGCATTCTGCTTAAAGCTCAGCAAGGCATTGTTGGAGGGAGGCCACTGATAAGTCTCATTCTTTTGTCCTCAGAGCCCCCCAAGATGAACCCAGTGGTGGAGCCACTGTCTTGGATGCTGGGCACCTGGCTGTCGGACCCACCTGGAGCCGGAACCTACCCCACGCTGCAGCCCTTCCAGTACCTGGAAGAGGTTCACATCTCCCATGTGGGCCAGCCCATGCTGAACTTCTCGTGAGTTGTCTCCCTCCACCCCACCCTGCTTGACTCGTGGGCCACCTGGGTCTCTGAAAATAATTCCAGACTGATCAAAGACAGACAAAGGCCAAGCAGGAAGGTGTAAAAGGAACTTGTCTATCTATTTCAGAAAGGCATCCTCTTGCCTGAATGTGCAACTGAGGCACAGAGTTGGTAAAAATGGTACTTTCTGGTTTTGTTATATTTTTGGTGATATTAAGCTGACCACCAAATTACAGGCTTATTAATCCAAAGATAAAAACAAATACATATACTTAATTTGTGTATCAAAATTAATCACCATGGCCAGTGCGGTAGCTCATACCTGTAATCCCAGCAGTTTGGAGGCCGAGTCAGGAGGACTGCTTGAGCTCAGCACCATTCTGCCCAAGACCAGCCTGGGCAACATAGTGATACCTTGTCTCTACTATAAGTATTTATTTATTTAGCCAGGTGTGGTGACACACGCCTGTAGTCCCAACTACTCGAGAAATTGAGGTGGGAGGATTGCTTGAACCCAGGGAGGGCCAAGGCTACAGTGAGCCGTGATCATACCACTGTACTCCAGCCTGGGTGACAGAGTGAAACCTTGTCTCAGAAAAAAGAAAAAATTAGTCACCCAGTATTACTGAAAATAATAGTGCATAGTTGTATTTTATACACCCTGACCTATTTGGGATCACAAGGAAGCTGTTAGTATGTGGTTCTCATATTCTTACCATACAAGAAAGCAGAAGCCCCGTGAGGTACTTCAGCTGTCCCTTCCCACCACCTCCACCCCACAGTTGGAGAAATTGCCTGCTTTTAGGGAGATAGCAATGTAGGCCTCTGAAGTAGAGGAGAGCCACCAGGGATGGGGAATGGTTGATGTATCTTTATTTTCTAATCATAGAAGTAATACACAGTTTTTTTTTTTCAGTTTCAGCAATAAAGTATAAAAAGCAAACTCTTCCCTCCTCAGTCTCCATTACATAACTGTATGTTAAGAATCTGGGCCGGGCTTGGTGACTCACGCCTGTAATCCCAGCACTTTGGGAGGCCGAGGCGGGCGGATCACGAGGTCAGGAGATCAAGACCATCCTGGCTAACACAGTGAAACCCCGTCTCTGCTAAAAATTAAAAAAAAAAATTAGCCGGGCATGGTGGCGGCGCCTGTAGTTCCAGCTACTCGGGAGGCTGAGTCAGGAGAATGGTGTGAACCCGGGAGGCGGAGCTTGCAGTGAGCCGAGATGGCGCCACTGCACTCCAGCCTCTGGGTGATAGGGAGAGACTCCGTCTCAAAAAAAAGAATCTTACTAATCCAACTTGGTACTGTTTGTATAATGCCTAGCGGTTTCAGAACTGGTCTGGGCACCTGGCTCTCAGACCCCCAGCTCTGATACCCTCTGTCCCCTTTTAGAAGATCTCATTGTTTTTATAAATATCTCATACCTTTTTACATTATTCTTGATTGAATGGTTGAGGTCAAAGTAATATATCTGCGCATAAACCAGAAGGTGAGAATTCTGGGTAATACAAAATACCCCAGAACTGAGGCAGTCTTTTTTAAACTCTAGATTATAACCCACTAAAAGGTCAGAAAGTCAGTTTTGTGACTAGCATTCGAAGAAAAATGAACCAGAATGGAAAATATATTTCAGTAAATGTGATGGTATATGTGTGTGTGTGTGTGTGTGTGTGTGTGTGTGTCCTAGAGTATGGTATAAATGTATTTCTTTGTCAGGGTTATGTTAGTGAGCATGCACCATTCTGTAAGGTGTAGCACCATCCCTAGCCCAGCAGGAGTTTATCTTGGCCAGGCACATTGGCTCATGCCTGTAATCCCAGCACTTTGGGAGGCCGAGGTGGGTGGATCACTTGAGCCCAGGAATCCGAGATCAGCCTGGCCAATGTGGTGAAATTGTGTCTCTGCTAAAAAAAATACAAAAATTAGCTGGGTGTGTGGCCAGGCATGGTGGCTCACGCCTGTAATCCCAGCAGTTTGGAAGACCAAGGCAGGCGGGTCACCTGAGGTCAGGAGTTTGAGACCGGACTGACCAACATGGAGAAACCTGATCTCTACTAAAAATATAAAACTAGCTGGGTATGGTGGCGCATTCCTGTAATCCCAGCTACTCGGGAAGGTTGAGGCAGGAGAATCGCTTGATCCTGGGAGGCGGAGGTTGCGGTGAGCCAAGATTGCACTATTGCACTCTGGCCTGGGCAACAAGAGAGAAATGCCATCTCAAAAAAAAAAAAAAGCTGGGTGTGGTGGTGCATGTCTGTAATCCCAGCTACTTGGGAGGCCGAGGCAGGAGAATCACTTGAACCCAAAAAGGAGAGTTGCGTGAGCTGAGATCATGCCACTGCACACCAGCCCTGAGTGTCAGAAAAAAAAAAAAAAAATTATCTCTAAGAATCATAGAGATGGATTCCCTGTAGAAACTCATAAAGTTGGTGAAATGATAAATGAGGCTTTTTTTTTTTTTTTTGTCTTTATTTTTGTAGAAATAGGGTCTGTGTTGCCCAACCCTGTCTCAAATTCCTAGGCTCAAGAAATCTACCTGAGTGGGCCTCTGGAATTGCTGGGATTATAGCCCTGAGTCACCATGCCAGCGAGTTAGTTTCTAAGCCATGGGTTTGTGCCCTCAGTTCAAGATGCACACGCCTGTCTTTTACTGTTGAGTATTTGCACTAATGATGAAGGATGATAAGAAGCCATACCGTATCTCAGCACCTGTTCTGTTTCTTACCGTAGGAATTGATTAGATTCTTACACAAGAACATAGCTCAAAAGAGAAAGGTTGTGTTAGGGTGAAGTTTACTGCAAGGGAATGCTTAGGGTTCACACTGTGTGAGGCCTGGGCTAATGGGCCTAGGGCAAGGATATGCCCTGAGGTGATAAGAACAAGTCCTGTCTTCAGGAGCTGAGGGTCAGCAGGTAAGACAGACCCAGCCAAAATGAGCACAGTGGTGGAGGGGGCGGGCAGGTGTGTGGGCGTGGCTGGAGCAGCCCATCTTCAGGAGTGGAGGGTCAGCAGGTAAGACAGACACAGCCAAAATGAGCAGAGTGGTGGTGGGGGCAGGCAGGTGTGTGGGCATGGCTGGAACAGCCGCCTGGAGGGCAGCATGGATAGTCCTGGCATCCACGCAGCCCACACCGTGTTGGAGGCCAGTGCCTAGGCTTCCCATCCCCAACTTCCCATCCAGGTTCAACTCCTTCCACCCGGACACGCGCAAGCCGATGCACAGAGAGTGTGGCTTCATCCGCCTCAAGCCCGACACCAACAAGGTGGCCTTTGTCAGTGCCCAGAACACAGGTGAGGCCCAGTCTGTGGGGTGGGGGTGCTGGCCATGGGAGGCCACTGCCTGCATTCTAAGCAGGGGTGCGGGAACGCCCATTGGCAACCCTGCTGAGACATGTGCTGGTGGGGACCATGGGGATGGCCCTGAGTGATAACAGCGGTCGTGGGAGCCTGCGGTGCCATCTGTGTAGCTGCAGAGGCCTCTGCACACAGATTGTGTACGTGCAACTCCCTGACCATGAGAGGGCCCGTTTGCCCAGTGCCGTGTTGGCAGAAATGGTCATGTGCTATGTGCATTCATTAGGAATCACTGGAAAACAAGCCGGCCACTGTGGCTCACGCCTGTAATCCCAGCACTCTGGGAGGCCGAGGCGGGCGGATCACGAGGTCAGGAGTTCAAGACCAGCCTGGCCAACATGGTGAAATCCCGTCTCTACTAAAAATACAAAAATTAGCTGGATGTGGTGGTGCACACCTGTAATCCCAGCCACTTGGGAGGCTGAGGCAGGAGAATCACTTGAACCTGGGAGGTAGAGGTTGCAGTGAGCCAAGACTACGCCACTGCACTCCAGCCTGGGTAGTAGAGCGAGATTCTGTCTCAAAAAATAAACCAGCCTGCGTGACTCTAGATCAGTGTTTCTTCCTGGACGTCCATCCCCACCTGCCACTGCATGTACTAGGGGTGATTCTGCTAGTCTGATTGATGGGTGGAGGTGGGAGGACTGGGGCCCTGGGCACCTCTGAAGAGGGGGCCTTCCATAGAGCACCTGCCTGTGCTGTGAGGAGAGTTGTGGCTTTTCCTCTGTACCCACAGGGTGAAGCAGGGAGGAGGAGAAGGATCACTGCCTCCATGGCTGCAGAGTTGGGGTCTCCTGTGGAGTCCTGGCTTGCAGGCGAGGAGAGTCAAGGCTGCCTCTCTGCGAGCCGAGCAGCTGCTGGGTGAGCTGACCACCTTTCCCTTGCAGGTGTGGTAGAGGTGGAGGAGGGTGAGGTGAACGGGCAGGAGCTGTGCATCGCATCCCACTCCATCGCCAGGATCTCCTTCGCCAAGGAGCCCCACGTAGAGCAGGTGAGCCCCTCCCGGCCCTGCCCCAGCGCCCTCCTGTCTTGTGTGTGCAGAGGTCTGCGGAGTCAGCCTTTTCCTCTTCCGTGAGGTAGTGCGTGTGTTGCCACCGCGTCTCACAGGCCTGTCTTCACTGTCTCATTCTTTTCCCTTCTCGGACCATCCCAGGGTGGATGTTCCCTCATTTCGTTGCCTGCTCCTCGGCTGGCGGGTGGTTTGGTTTTTTGAGGTTTGTTGTTAGTTACAAACATCCTTTTACATTTGGGTTGTCCACGTCTGCAGCTATATCCGTATCTATAGATAAAATTTTTCCAGTTAAATTTCTGGATCAAAGGACAGGTACATTTTAAATTTGTTACACGCTATCAGATTGTATTTCTTCATGATTATCCTCCCACTATCTCTTGCATGAGGGCAGCTTGTTCCCCACTCCTTAACAACGTGGTATATTTTCAGAATTTCGGTCCTTTCAAATCTGAGAAATAAAGATGAAATATTACTCATGTTTTAAATCTCACTTTGAAGCGGGAGGGCTCATTCCCCATGCTCACTGGCCGTTTGTGCTTCTTGTTCTGTGTACTTGAGGTTCAAAGTCTTTGCCTGTTTTTCTATGCATTGCCCCTTTTTTGAGGCAGAGTTTTGCTCTTGTTGCCCAGGCTGGAGTGCAGTGCCAGGATCTCCACTCACCACAACCTCTGCCTCCCAGGTTCAAGCGATTCTCCTGCCTCAGCTTCCCAAATAGCTGGGATTACAGGTGTGCGCCACCATACCCAGCTAATTTTGTATTATTGGTAGAGACAGGGTTTCTCCATGTTGGTCAGGCTGGTCTTGAACTCCCGATCTCAGGTGATCCGCCCACTTTGGTCTCCCAAAGTGCTGGGATTACAGGCGTGAGCAACTGCGCCTGGCCAGATTGTCCTTTTTTTTTTTTTCAAGGATTTGTGGGAGCTTTCTATATGCCATGGGTTAATCTGTCATCTGCTTTATTTGCAACACATATTTCCCTAGAGTCTGTGACCTGGTCCATGATGGGTTGTACCCCACAGATGCTCAGCTTTCCTATCGTTGCCTCTGGGCTGTTTTCTTTACAATGTTTGGATTTGGGTTCTTGCTAAGGAAGTTGTTGTCCACTCCAAAATGATAAAAACATTCTCTCATTTTCTTTTTTTGTTTTTTTTTTTTTTTGAGACAGTCTCGCTCTGTCGCCCAGGCTGGAGTGCAGTGGTGTGATCTCAGCTCACTGCAAGCTCCGCCTCCCGGGTTCACGCCATTCTCCTGCCTCAACCTCCCGAGTTGCTGGGACTACAGGTGCCCGCCACCATGACCAGCTAATTTTTTTGTATTTTTAGTAGAGACAGGGTTTCACCGTGTTAGCCAGGATGATCTCGATCTCCTGACCTCATGATGCACCCGCCTCGACCTCCCACAGTGCTGGGATTACAGGCATGAGTCACTGCGCCCAGCCTGTTCTTTCATTTCTTGTATTCTTACAGCTTTCCTTTTTACATTAACACCTAGACCTTTAATTTGTCTCACATTTGTTTTTTGAGTGATGCAGCGTATAATTCTAACTTTTCCAGATGAGTGGCCCAGTGGTCCCAACACCACTCATTGAATTCCATCCTGACCCCACGGATTTGGAATGTCATACATATATTAAGCCACATCCACATAAATATAGGGGTCTGTTTGTTTCTTTCTTTCTTTCTTCTTTTTTTGAGAAGGAGTCTTGCTCTGTTGCCCAGGCTGGAGTGCAATGGTGCGACCTCAGCTCACTGAAGCCTCCACCTCTCGGGTTCAAGTGATTCTCCTGCTTCAGCCTCCCGAGTAGCTGGGATTACTGGCACGCGCCACCACACCTGGCTAATTTTTGTATTTTTAGTAGAGATGGGGTTTTGCCACGTTGGCCAGGCTGATCCCAAACTCCTGACCTCAAGTGATCCGCCTACCTCAGCCTCCCAAAGTGCTGGGATTTACAGGCGTGAGCCACTGTGCCCAGCCTTGTTTCTATTTCTTCCTTTGCTTGTCCACTTCATTACCAGTAACACATTTTTAGCTCTCACAGCTGTATATTACATGTTAATGTCTAAGGGAATGTTTCCCACATTTTTCCTCCAAATTTTCTTAGTCGTTCTTAAGCACTTCCTCTTCATCATTCTTAAACACTAGATGAACTTTTGAATAAACATCTCAAGGTTTATAAAATGTACATCAAGACTGCATTGAATACATGAGTGAATTTGGGAAGAATTAACATATTTTCGTGGATAGCAATATACAGCAGCATGGCAATGTATTATGGTGACTGTAGGTCATGTTTTGTGTATTATAGTATATATAAAAGCTTTATTTCTTCATAGTTTTAATCATATAGGTCTTGTACATTTCATGTTAGGGTAAACTCAAGTGCTTTATCATTTTTGTTGTTTATAAATACATTTTTTTCCATTTAATCTTCAAATTGATTATTGGTCATTGTGTGGACACTTCTGATTTCTCTGTGTCAAACTGGGCCACTTGTGTGTAACGTTGGGACAGCCAGGATCTTAGGCACAGCACGGATAGAACAGTAGGCATGAATGTTGCTTGTCCCTGACTCGAGTGGAAATAGATCTGTGTGCCACCACCTGTAAGATGCTCACTGTAAATTACTTGCTGGTAGATAAGAAGGTAGCCTTTTTATTTTTGAGATGGAGTCTCACTCTGTTGCCCAGGCTGGAGTGCAGTGGCACAGTCTCGGCTCACTGCAACCTCCGCCTCCTGAGTTCAAGCGATTCTCATGCTTCAGCCTTCCAAGTAGCTGGGGTTACAAGCGTGCACCACCATGCCCAGCTAATTTTTGTATTTTTAGTAGAGACAGGGTTTCACCTTGTTGGCCAGGCTGGTCTCAAATTCCTGACCTCAAGCAATCCACCCGCCTCAGCTTCCTAAAGTGCTGGGATTGGGCATGAGTCACAGCGCCCAGCTGGATAGCCTTTTTTTTAAGTTGTAAAATTTTTCTACTTTTTTTGTTTTCCAGTGCAGGTGCATATCTTGGTTAAGACAGTCTTTTTCGAAGCTGGGCACGGTGGCTCACGCCTGTAATCCCAGCACTTTGGGAGGCCGAGGCGGGCAGATCACAAGGTCGGGAGATTGAGACCATCCTGGCTAACACGGTGAAATCCCGTCTCTACTAAAAATACAAAAAATTAGCTGGGCGTGGTGGTGGGTGCCTGTAGTCCTAGCTACTCGGGAGGCTGAGCAGGAGAATGGCGTGAACCCAGGAGGCGGAGCTTGCAGTGAGCTGAGATCCGGCCACTGCACTCCAGCCTGGGTGACAAAGCGATCCGGCCACTGCACTCCAGCCTGGGTGACAAAGCGAGACTCCGTCTCAAAAAAAAAAAAAAAAAAAAGACAATCTTTTTCAAGTTAAGAAGATTTAGTTTCTAGTATGTTAAGAATTGTATTCAGGGGCCAGGCGTGGTGACTCATGCTTGTAATCCCAGCACTTTGGGAGGCCAAGGCAGGCGGATCACGAGGTCAGGAGATCAAGACCATCCTGACTAACACAGTGAAACCCCGTCTCTACAAAAAATACAAAAAATTAGCCGCTGTGGTGGCAGGCACCTGTAGTCCCAGCTACTCAGGAGGCTGAGACAAGAGAATGGCGTGAACCCAGGAGGCGGAGCTTGCAGTGAGCTGAGATAGCGCAACTGCACTCCAGCCTGGGCGACAGAGCAAGACTCCGTCTCAAAAAAAAAAAAAAATTGTATTCAGGAATGAGTTTTGAATTTCATCAAATGCTTTTATAACCTTTTGGGAATTAGTCTGTTTTGCCTACTTGCCTTCCTCTTGAAGCTGTTAATACAGTAAATCAGGTGTCCCCAACCCCCAGACTGGCTGTGGCCTCTTAAGAACCAGCCCTCACTGCAGGAGATGAGTGGCCAGCAGGTGAGTTAGCATGACCACCTGAGTTCCACCTCCTGTCCATCAGGTGGCAGCATTAGATTCTCATAGGAGCGCAAACCCTGCTGTGAATTGCACATGTGAGGGATCTAGGTTTCCCTCCTAATGAGAATCTAATGCCTGATGATCTGAGATGGAACAGTTTCATCCCGAAACCACCCCTATCCCCCAGCTGTGGAAAATTGTCTTCCACGAAACCAGTTCCTGGGGCCAAAAAGTTTGGGGACTGCTCTAATAAATTATATTAATAGCTCATCAGTACTGGGCCATGTTTGTTTTCGGGGATAACCCTGAGTTGTCATGATATGTTGGTTTTAGACATCATTGTCCATTTTGATATTGGAGTTATTCACAGGCTAGCTGGGAGCTTCTTAGCTTTTGCAAATGTTCTCTGGCGAAGGGTGGCCCCATGGGAGTTGGTCGGCCTCTCTGGGAAGATGTCTGGGACCCAGACCTCAGCTGTGCTTTTACTTTGTTCCATGACTGCTCATCTCTCCACGTTCTTACTTGGCTTCATCTGCAGATTCATTGTTCTCCTGGAAAAGTGTCTGTTTCATGAGATTTTCAGAATTTTTAGAAGAAGTAATAGATACTGTTTTCTCTTGATCTGCCATTCTATGTCACTTCTCTTTTACTGATGTTTTGTGTGTGTTTTCTCTTTTTCTTGATTATACTTGCCAAAGGTTATCTATTTTGCCAGGATTTTTGTTTGCTTGTTTTATTTTGCTAAATAACTAGATTTGGGTTTTATTAATTAAAAAGTGCCTCTTTTTCTGCGAATGGAGAGAGACAATGGAGTTAGGAAGCCTGGGCGTGGTGCTCAGGGGAAGGCTCTGTGCCACGCAGCCCCTGCACCCCGGAGGCTTTGGGGTCCTCTGCGGAGTGACTTAACGGACAGAAGCTGGAAGCACAACCTGAGGGGCTGGGCCTCCCCATTGGGTTGACATCAGCAGGACCGAGGAAACCAGGAAGCACACACACAAGGCAGGGACCTTGAGGCCAGAAGGAGAGAAGGAGGCAAGGGCTGGGTCTTGGAGGGCCTGTCTGTCCTACTAGGCTTG